CCAGGCTCCTTTTTGCGTTTTGCTGGGACAAGGAGAACAATGGGGGCTTACTTCCGAGTAAACAGAGCCAGGCTGGAGGCTGAAACGAAAGCCTCCCCTCCCCACCCTCCGGAGAAATTGCATCGTGTAAACACCGGCACCTCCGGCTCCGGCAGCCCCCCGACGGAGAGGGCGGCCCCACCTTTTCTCGCTGGCCCTGCGCATCGCCGGTCCCGGAGGCCGCGGCTGTTTCGGCCGCCTGCGCCGCTTCCACCCGGATGAGGCGCCTCCGGGGCGATCGGCAGCGGCGGCCGTCGGGGTCGGCGGCGGGCGCGGAGGAGGCGGCGGCGTTGCCGCCCGCGTAGGGGTCTTCGAAGTCCCGCTCCCGCTGCAGCCGGTAGGCAGCGAGCAGGTCGGGCTGCTCGGGGCCCGCCGCGTAATCCGGCTGCGGCGGCGCCGGCTTGGCGCTGCGGAAAAGCAGGCGCTCGCGGAGCCAGCGCGCCATGGTGCGCCCCGGGGCGGCGGCGGCGGGGGCGCACGCGGAGCAGCGGCGGCGGTCCCGGGCCCGCCGCGGAAGGGCCGGTCGGAGCTCCTGCTCGCCTAGCCGGCCGGTGCGGAAGCGCTGTGCCCGCCCATCGCCCCCGATCTCCCCCTCCTTTCCCGGCGCGCGGCTCCCCGAGACGCATCGGGCCTTTGGGGCGCAAGCTCGGCGACGGGGCGGCGATCGCCACGGAGCGCCCCCGACCCCGATCGCTCCCGTGCGGAGCCTTGGCCTCCCAGTGAACCCACAGCTTTAACAGGGCCTTGGGGGCGGGGGGTTCCTTTTCCACGTCCCCCCTCCCCATCGACGCGCCCCGTTTCCTTTTTTTTTTTTTAACATTGTGGAACAATTTATTCTTTTTTTAAATAACTTTTTTATTCAAAATTAAAACAAAACATATTATCCAGAAACATATCATCCTTATTGCCCCCCATTCCCCCCTCCCCCCACAGAACCCCCCCCCCGACTTCCCTCAGTTCCAGTCTTTGATTTCTCTAAAAGTGCTGTTTTCTGCATGTTACGCAGTTGTATAGATCCTCAAACTATTTAGCTGATTATTGTCAATAAAAAGTTTGTGGATATTTATTCAAAGCCAGCCAAGGAGTCCAGTTCGCTTTGTTGCATCTTCAAATACTTTGCAAAGGGTTCCCATTCATCTTTAAAGTCAGTTATCCTTGTCCCGTAGCTTGTATGTCAGTTTTGCCAGTTCTGCATAGTCCATCAATTTTTCTTGCCATGATTCTTTAGTTGGGGTTTCTTCAGTCTTCCATCCTTGTGCTATTAAAATTTACTCTCGCAGCCGTCACATACATGAAGATGTTTTTCAGCTTTTTTGGCAGATCTTTGACACGCCGCGTTTCCAAGCATAGCCCCGGATTCCCCCCTTTAAAAAACATGGTCCCTGGTTTGCTCGGATCTCTGACAGTTGTTACCGGGAAATTGGAAAAGGGCTGAGAGACCACTGCCCCCCCCCCCAGCCTTGCCTCTCCACACTAGGAGGCAAAGACAAAGAGCCTCAGCTGCACATTACCAAATATAGCAGTTCACTGATAAATTTATCTATGTACAGTACTGACTCTGTGGGGAAACTTTAGGAAATCATAAGAAAACGCATCTTGGTGTCAATGTTCCAATGGCATTTAGGACCCAGGGAAGTGAGGTGTAAGGGGAGGGGTGAGTGAGGCCACCATAATCTCTGAGATGTAGTCAAGTCCAGGGGTGATATCCTGCCCCAAGAGTGTCAGATGGATAACCATGTCAATCACAATGCCTACCCACCCCATAGTGGGATGAAGCCCAGAAAAGACAAAGGGGGGTATTTGACTTGTCTCAGGGACCAGGGAACTATAAATGCTTTCCTTTGTACTGTGATGGGAGTATATTTGAGTGACAGGGTCATGCCTGGATCTCAGGTTCTACCTGAGACCACAACTTTTTCTGTGACATATCTATGATGTCTTGATGATGCTTCTGGAAATGGGAAACTTTGGGAAACTATAAAATACAGTCGTACCTCCGGTTACAGACGCTTCAGGTTACAGATGCTTCAGGTTAAAGACTCCGCTAACCCAGAAATAGTACCTTGGGTTAAGAACTTTGCTTCAGGATGAGAACAGAAATCGTGCGGCGGCGGGAGGCCCCCTTAGCTAAAGTGCTGCCTCAGGTTAAGAACAGTTTCAGGTTAAGAACAGACCTCCAGAACGAATTAAGTTCTTAACCCGAGGTACCACTGTACTGATGTAACCATTGTTTGGGGCTTCTCTCTGCCTCTTCTGTGTAGTAGTTTGAAGTCTTGTTGCAACAATAAAGATCAGGCCTACTGGCCACTGTTTTGCTTCTATCTCCTTGCTGAAGTCTCTTGCTTGTGACCCCCGACCTGAACGTATGGGAGAAAAGGGTACGCAATTGTGGGGTTGCTCCAAGGACTGCCTTATACACAGTGAAATCTAGCGCACATGCAATCAGATCCTGTACGGAACTACTCAGAAGAAAACCCCATTCACTGCCAGGGTAAATATGTGGGATTGGAGTGTGGCGTCACAACCCTAGACGAGTTGCGATCAGAGGAGAGTTGTTCTCTAGTAAGGACATGCCAGATTGCAGCCGTGTGTACCTTGACATGCATTGAGCTCTGTGGGACTTAGCTGCATGCACATGCCATACAATGAAAGCACATTGCATCCCCTCTGAAGAATCCTGGAAACCATAGTTTGTTAAAGGTGCTGCGAGGCATAAATTACAGTACCCAGGATCCTTTTTTGGGGGGGGAGGGAAGTACTTTCAATGTATGGTGTGTACAGTCCCAACAGGTGTGGATATTCCTGTTCATGCACATGCATAGAATATACCCCTTTTATATTGAACACATAGAAAGATGGGGGCAAGAAAGAGAGGAGCATAACGCACACCATTTTCACTCTTGCCTGCCATGTATTGTTCAGCTAAACCTGCCCTTAGATTCTGGGCACATGACCAGGAACACTGGAAAAACAGGCTTCCTGAGATTCCTGATACATCACCAGAGAGTTTCGGATCACACATGTGCAACTTCTGTGCACATGCACAAAGCTGAACATGCCGAGTTGGTTGCATGCATGGAGATGGTGCATGAAAACCCACTGCTCCACTCATGTGCTTTCAATACATTATATGAAAATGTGTTCATCTTCCAGCACCAAACCGGAGCACATTTGAGAGCCGTGTATTCTTCCCCTGTTTATCCCTGCCTCGCCTCCCCCTATTGTTTCTTCTGTGCCAGGTTTTAGATTGTATGCTCCTCAGGGCACAGGACTATTGCGCCTGTAAAATGCCACGTACAGTGATATATTAATCGTAACCGTAACCTACTTGAGATATTTTATGGGAAGTGAGTAAATAAATTAAAATAAATCACACTGTTTTTGTTTCAGCTGTTGAGTGGGAAATGGACAGCCTGCAGCAGGAGTCTCACAAATGCAGTATGCCTGTGTTGCCTAGATCTCAGAGGCAGGGGACTCAAAGCAGGGTCCCACAAGACAAATAAAGTTGTCCAGCATATTTATATGGAGGAATACCATTCTTGAAATATTCTGTTCCTGGGTGGTTTAGGGCTTCACGGTAAAAACAGCCCTTGATTTGAGCCCAGAAACAGACGGACAGTGTTGGTTCAAGATCTGTGCAATGCAAGCTGACCATCCAACCAGTTTGAAGGAGCCTGGCAGCCACCTCTTCAACCAATTAAAGTTTTCGTGCTTTCCTTGAGAACATCCCCAGACAGAGGGCATCAGGGGAGTCAGATCTGGAGATGCCCACAAAAGCATGAATGCAGGGAACAGATAGCTGTGTGTCCCTACAGTATTCTCTTTATGAAAGTCCTTTCAACTGGAGACCCAGCCAAACCCAAGCCTGACCATTGCAATGTTGTGTGCCACCATAGGTGTGTGTTTTTTTAACTTGCTTTCTTTTCTTTTTTTACTGACAAGATCTGTTTAGGCTGGTCTTTGTGGGTCAAATGTAACTGCATTTTAATAAAATTCATTCTATTTGTGGCGGTGGGGAAGCCTTTGTTACTAACGCCGCTCTTTGGGGATGGAGCAGGCTATAATGCAAGAATGCTACGAATGGAAATCATGTGCAGCAATCTCAAAAGAGCCTAAATACATAGTACCTGCATAAACCAAGTCTAACCTGGTGCCATGCTTGGAATCCGGGTGCAACGCTAAGTTTTTGCATTATAAAGACACAAATGAAAACAAACCAACCGCTCTTTTACCCGTAAAAAAGTAAAATAAATCGAACAGCTCAATTCAGCGCTAACTCAGATACACCATTGCGTCTCCAAATGCCTTCCCGCTAATGCAGCCTGGCATTTAGGAGCAATGCTTAGGTTCCACGTTACAAAAGCACAATTAAGCAAAACCAACCTTTCCTTTGAACCATTAAAAAAAAAAAAAAAATATCCGTCTTCCTGCCGTGACTCGGATTCGAACCGAGGTTGCTGCGGCCACAACGCAGAGTACTAACCACTATACGATCACGGCGAGCTACCAGGGAAGACGAGAGCGGAGGACGCAGCCGCCCTCTTCAGTGTCACAGTCAATGATGTCACTCGCTCTCGAGCTAGGAATGGTCGTAACCGCTTTCACCGCCCTCCTTTCGAACGCATGCGCTTTTAGCGCGGCTGCTCTCAAGACGCGCGCCTGCGCTCTAGGGCGCCTTCCGCCTTCAGACAGACGCCGGGCTGCCTGCGGGTGGGGCGAGCCTGGAGGGAGCCGCTTTATATAAACTAATCCACCGCTCGATGGCAGTAGGAATACTCTCAGAAGCTTAAAAAAAAAAAATCCCCTAAAGATAAAAGGAGCCTCTTGTACTTTCCTCGTGGCCTAGATGAGGCGTTGCGCCACTCTACACTTTTACTGGCTCTACAGTCACTTTCCTCGCCCCGCCCATCCTGAGCTGAGCACGCCGCCGTGCTGACGTTGGCATCTCGTATTCTAGCCCCGCCCCTTCCGAGAGCGGCCGTTGCTGTCTGTCTCGCGCGCCTGATTTGAACGTGAGGCGACGGTTGGCCGCCGAGGGGGCGGCTGAGGCGCCGCGTCGCTCGCGGTCCTTGGTCGGCGGCTGAGGGCCTTGCTCCGGCCCCTTCCACCGAGATGGTCGGAGAGGTTGTGGTCAACGTCTCCCCGCCCGTCGGGTTCTTCCCGGCTTTCTTGGCTCGAAGGGTAGAGGCGAGGGCCTGCGCCGCCGTCGCTTTCCTGAGGTGACACAGCCGTCGTGGGAGCCGCGCCTCCAAGCGGTGGCCCAGCTTCCTCTCGTTTCCCTCGGCGCTGGGCAAGGGAAACGATGGCCGTTTCCAACGCCTCTTGGAAACGGTGAGGTTTGGGCGTCAAATGTACGCATCAAGTTACGGACACGTTGCGTTCCGTTTACCATTTTTTAAAAAAAAACTAAGGGTCACTGTATGTTCCAGCAGATTCTAAAGCTTCCCCAATAAGCAGGGATGTAAACGCGGGTGGCGCTGTGGGTAAAAGCCTCAGCGCCTAGGGCTTGCCGATTGAAAGGTCGGCGGTTCGAATCCCCGCGGCGGGGTGTGCTCCCGCTGCTCGGTCCCAGCGCCTGCCAACCTAGCAGTTCGAAAGCACCTTCGGGTGCAAGTAGATAAATAGGGACCGCTAACCAGCGGGAAGGTAAACGGCGTTCCGTGTGTGCTGCGCTGGCTCGCCAGAGCAGCTTCGTCACGCTGGCCACGTGACCCGGAAGTGTCTGCGGACAGCGCTGGCTCCCGGCCTATAGAGTGAGATGGGCGCACAACCCTAGAGTCTGGCAAGACTGGCCCGTACGGGCAGGGGTACCTTTACCTTTAAACCTAAACAAACAATCCCTTCCATAGAAAAAGCTCATAATAACAGAGCCAGTGCAGGTGCGATGCAAGGAATTCTGATTGGATCTCCCCTCGTTCATAAAATAGCCACAGAGGGATGTCAGGATGGTTTCATTTTGGTTATATATACAGTGGTACCTCTGGTTGCGAACGGGGTCCATTCCGGAGCCCCTTTCGCAACCTGAAAGGAATGCAACGCGCGTCTGTACACGCACAGGTTGTGATTTGCCACTTCTGCACATGCATGTGACATTTTGTGCATCTGCGCGTGCGCAAGTGGAAACCCAGAAGTAACCCTTCTGGGTCACTGCGGCACATAACCTTGGAGGAGGAAATTGAGACAGCATTTCCATATCACCTAAATTGTAAACCATTACAGGTGTCTTAGCAGAAGAGTGATACATAAATGCAATTAAAAAGGTACCGCCTTTCCTCCAAGCCCACCTAATAGCAGCATGGAACTAGTAAGTTGGGAAAACAGCACTGGAATTACATATTCCATCTCCAATAAAGGCCCCACTTCAAACAAGATCCCTTGAGGAAGGGAGACAGGATCACGCGTCACACCTACTTCATCCCTTTGTCAGTTTTCTTTGCCCGGCAATAAAATTAGTAATGGTCTGTATATACTTGTTGCAAATCATTAATTTGCCAAAGATCTCATATTCAAATCAGGGATACCCAGTAAGCACCAGATGTATTTGCCCCCCCCCCCCCGCCTTCATTTTAAAATCTCTTTCAAAAAAATATATTAGGAACATTATATAACACTACAATACAAAATATAATGAATTGTGTTCCTGGCAGGTAACCTAGTGCAGGAGTTGCCAGTGTGTCTGCAGGTGCACATGTGCCTACAGAAGCATTACCGTATTTTTAGCTCCATAAGACGCACCTTTTCCCCTCTAAAAAGTAAGGGGAAATGTGTGTGCATCTTATGGAGTGAATGCAGGGGGGGAGGCAGGCAGGAAAAGCCCCCAAGAGCTGCGCGTGGCTCTTGCGGGCTTTTCCCAGGGCTTTTCCTCCTCGTAGAAAAGCCCGCAGGAGCTGCACGCTCCTTAAAGGGTGCACAGCTCCTGTGGGCTTTTGCGGGAGGTGGGGGTATTGCCATAGCCACACGCAGCCCCTCCGGCCGGGAGAGGCTGCGCGCGGCTAGGGCTGCGTGCGGCTAAAGAGGAAGCCAAGACAGCGAGCAGGATCCATCCCGCTCGGTGTCTTGGCTTCTCCCATAGCCACACGCAGCCTCTCCCAGCCGGATTTCCCCCTCTAAAAACTAGGTGCGCCTTATGGTCCGGTGTGCCTTATGGAGCAAAAAATATGGTACTTGGTACCCACAGCGCCTCCTCCCTTTGCTGAAATGTGGGTTGAAATAAACATTCTGTTGTAGCCAATAGACTGCAGCATGTGCTTGACTGTGGGGTAAGTGTGGTACCTGTGACAGTTTCTCCTGTTTGCAAAAATGCCCATGAATCAAAGAAGTTGGTGACTCCTGATCTAGTGTATTTGAAAAAGGTCCAACCTATTATTTTCTTTAGCGTGCTACATTAATGGGGTCACAGTTTCACCAAAAACCCGATGTCTGATTCACTCGAAACAGTGCCAAACAAATGCAAATCGCCCTCTGCAATGTTGGGTGGTACAAACCCCATGTTTCATGATGGCACACGTGCAGTGCAAGTCCCACACGTTTTAGTGCCTGAAAATCATAAATTGCACTTTGTCTTGGGAAAAGCAAAAGCAAAATAAGGGGAATTTACTCTACTCCAAAGAAACCATCCTTTTGTTTCTGTGAGCTTTCTCCTTGCAGCTCTTGAGTTGGGGCATTACATCTGCACTGTAGTGTAATACGTAGTTTTCTATTTCCCCAGAGTTCTTTCTTGTGAAGTTAGTGACCAGTAGATGGCACAATTTTTCCATAAAAAGCTGGGAATCCAAACCGCTGACTAGTTTGAAGGATTCAGCCAACTTGTATGTGATGGTCAATTTTTCAGTTTTCCAGGCCACTGTGTAAAGGATAGCTATTCCAGTAGCTTTCTTAGAATAATTGATGTGTGCTGCCATTACCGTGGACAAGTAAGAGGGTTGTGTTTGTGGCAGGAGGAGAAAACAAGATTGCTGCTGTTGATTTTTTAATTATTATTCTCTTTCACAGCACCACAGCTGGAGCTAGTGAATTACCTTTCTCTGGAGTTTGGACCATGGTGCCTGTTAACAAAACTTGGATGTATATCAAGCAGTGCTGTGCTCGCTAAAGTGACTTAGTCTGTAAAAATGCTTAGCTGCCAAGGGTAGCAGGAGGGGTCATCTCACAGTGTAGAACCTGATCTGGTCCCACAGCCACTGCTTCCCTTCTGCCGCCACGAAAAGATGGAGAAGGAGGTCTTGCCGGCATCATTCTGTCACCTGCAAGAGAAAAATGGTAAGCAGGACGCCAGGAGTGCCTGCTTTTCTTGCAGATGAAACAGGGCATCTCTAACTACAGATGGGCTTTTGAGAAAGTCTTACCTGCTGAGTGCATTTGGATGTTGGCCTCTCTCTGGTATCCAATGGAGCCCGAGGTCTGCACTACTTATATATCTTCAATGATGATGTCATCTGCATGGAAGAGAATGAGAAGAGAATGAAAATGAAAATGAAAATGAGATTTTCCCACAGGCCTTTAGTCAAAGGGCGCTGTCTCCAAGGTGTGGGGCTTACCTTCTTTCGGCTTCAGGCAGAAGCAAGCCAGGTCCGGCCGAACTATCATCTGCAGAAGAAAGAAAAATTGGGGTCAGATGGGAGCGAGAGAGCACAGAAGCAGCGCCAAGTCAGGAAGAATGGGTCTCCCTCTGTCTTGGGCCCAATCCCTTGGTCCCAGGACCTCCCTGGGCCCTGCAGCCTCCTGGGCAGAGGTGGAAAGGGCAGCAGCAGGAAAGGGGGCAGGAAAAGCCTCTGACCCCCAGAGACACACCCTGCATCATCTGCGCTAAAGATCACTTGGGGATGTGATCTTGGGGGGATGAAAGTAACCAAAGAAATGAATAGAAGAAGGCAAGGTACTTACTCTGAGGTTGGGGTATTTCCGGGCAATGGCCAGCAGCAACGAAATGCTGCTGGCCGCTAGTTCTTGAGCCTCCCCACTTTCCCCCAGGGTGTATCCTCGGAGGTCCTGCAGGAGGAAAGAGCGTCTGAGAGTCAGGGGCCAGTCTGGGTCAAAGCGGCCCCCACCACGGAGTCCTTGGTCCTCTTTTGCATCCTTGGACTGGTTGCCCCCCATGCCCATTCCTGCCCTCCTCTGTCCAAAAAAGGAGGGCCACTTGCTCACCTGGCGCCATGGGCTGCTCTGGGTCTTGCTGGGGGGCCACCCTGTGGCATCGCCTGAACAAGTGCCTTAAGCACCTGATCATAGAAGAGATGAGCGGAAAGAGCGACTCAGACGCCAGCAGCCCCAATTCTTGGGGGGTGTTTGTGTGTGAGGAGGGGCGTCTGGAGAAAACAGTGAACCACTGCCAAATTGGCAGAACAGAAATACGTATGTGGAGCCTAATCGATCCTTGCTGGCCCATCATGACCAATTCCTTCCATCTCTCTGCAGTTCAGTGACCTGAAGGGGCATCATCAGAGCCTGAAAGAGGCAGCCCAGAGCATGAAGGGCTGGCAGAGAGAGAAAGGCAGTCCCAAGTGCTCTGGGTTCAAGAGCTACGGCCATGCCAGGACCCAGAGAGCCTGGTCCCCTCATTCATGCAGTCAAGCAGTGTATAAATTTCATGAAGCAAATGAAATGAATAGGGAGAGGGGGAGAGCTTTGGGTCATCCATTAACATTGTTATCAAAAGTTTTGGAAAAGGTATCGGGGGTTTCCCCCTCCAGCAGGCACCATACCCCCCTCTGACTGTACCCCAAATCAACACCTTCACTTCTGCAAATGTCCCCACAAAACACAAAAAAAGCCACTCAATCAATCTGCTCAGACTATCCAAAGAACTGTCCAATAGCAACCAGTGAGCGACACAAAACAGACACTTGAACTCAGGACACAAGGGAGAAACGAGCTAAGAGGAAGGCACGCTTGGCAAACCCTCACTGTGATCAACTCCCACCCAGAAAACTATGTCCCCACTGTGGAAAGATGCGTGGATCCAGAATTGGCCTCCACAATCACGCACTCACGGTTAAAACTCACTGTTCATGGAAGTCAATCTAACTCGGCTACGAGTGGAAGAAGAAGAAGAAGATGATGATGATATCTGGTCATAGCACTCGCCTACTCTTGCACCGGGAAAACCTTCAACTATTCATATAAAAGCAATCCAACATCGGATTGACACCATTCCAATGCTATTCTGCTCAGAAGGAAGATAGCTACCAGAGGAGGCACTTGGGACATGGCTAGGGGCAGCAATCATCCCTGAAGCATGAGACCATGTACACAGCAACCCTTCTGCTTGGGTGATAATCACTGCCCTCCTGGTCTCTGAGTGCCAGACATGTAGCCATCTCAAGGACAAGAGTGGATCCAACCTATGTGGATTGGGGACTTGACCAGGACAACTTGGCTGGGAAACAGACTCACCCCCCCCCCCCCGAAATGAAGAGAAAGTGATGCTACTTACAGCCTGCCCATGTCGTCCACGAAAGATCCCATCCTCCTATCTAAAGTAACTATCTGAAATGCCCACCCAAGCCTAAATCTGACCCCAACCCCAACCCCTGCTCTAAGTCTATACCTAACCCCCGCCCTAACCTTACACTTAACCCTAACTACTACTCTATAGAAAAAATAAAAATTTACAAAATATATACAGAATATGCACAGATGTGCACAAAAAACAAAAATATTAAAACAAACAAAAAATAAAAGTGTTAAAAGAAAAGAATAAAAGAAAATAAAAATAAATCAAATCAAAATAATAAATGAAATCAAAATAAGAAAACGGAAAAAGAACAATTCACTAATCCTCCGTCTACTCTCCACCAACCGCCACCACCTCCTCTCTCCTCTGACCTCTCCTCACTAACCCACAATGGCCGCCTGCAAGTCAGTGGCTTTTAAAGGAGAAGCAAGAGATGTCACAAAGGAGGGCTTGATCTGGCATGTGAAACACAAGAGAATCACATACAACATTCCTAGAGTGAACATGTTTACACATGGTGAGGAATGTTTGTCCAGCCAGCAGAATGTTTGTCCTGTTTTCTTCTGGGCTGGGACAGACTTCCTCTGCATGTGACTAGAGGTGGGTGTGACCTCACCTGTGCAGGTAATCACAAAAGCACAGGGCAGGGCAGCCATCTCTTTCACTACATGCATTGAAGAAGCAACATCTGCTTAGCCAAAGATGCCCCCTTGGCTCCAGCCAAGAGAGGACAAAGGGACTGTCTTCTTATGGAATAGTTTCCAAGTGTATGTTACTTTTCTAAGCTAAGTCTGCCTTCTGGGATCCGATTGTGAACAGAATGATATGTGAGTAAACCTTTTTATGAGGGACACGGGTGGCGCTGTGGGTTAAACCACAGAGCCTAGGGCTTCCCAATCAGAAGGTCGCAGTTCAAATCGCCGCGACGGGGTGGGCTCCCGTTGTTCGGTCCTAGCTCTTCCCAACCTAGCAGTTCGAAAGCATGTCAAAGTGCAAGTGGCGGGAAAGTAAACGTCGTTTCCGTGCGCTACTCTGGTTCTCCAGAAGCGGCTTAGTCATGCTGGCCACATGACCCGGAAGCTGTACGCCGGCTCCCTCGGCCAATAAAGCAAGATGAGCGCCACAACCCCAGAGTCGGCCACAACTGGACCTAATGGTCAGGGGTCCCTTTACCAGAACAGTTATTATAGAGGCTTTAGCGAGCCTGAGCAAACACATTCCCCATCCCTGAACATTCCCACACTTGTCACCGTGGCAACCCCCCCCCCCCAGGACCTGGCCCCTCCTGAGTGGTGATGCTCCTCTGTCAGAACTCGGAGGCATGTGCTGTTCCGCCTGCAGCTGCGCTCTATGTTCATTTCACATCCTTCTTCCTGCAGCCCCATTCCCAAAGGGAGACCAGCCCCACGCCCTTCCAGGCAGGCTAGGCATCTCCATAGCGCATCTCCTGCTTGGCATGCAGGTCTTCCGTCCTGGGCGGCATCTCAAGGGGGGGCTGGGAGATTGGGAATGTCCCCCCCTCCAAACCCTGGAGAGCTGCTGCCGGTCAGTGCAGGCGAGTTGAAGAAAGATATTGAGCAGCTGGAAAGTGAGCAGAGGAGGGTGACCAGGATGATGAAGGGTCTGGAAACCAAGCCTTATGAGGAACTGTTGAGGCAGTTAGAAACCAAGCCTGATCGATATTATAGATATGGAAATTAACATCAAACAGAACTGTGTGTGTAAAAAAAGGAAAAGGGAGGGAAACTCTATTTTGCAAAAGGTTTACGATGGAGTCTTAGAGCTGACTCTTCCCCATCCTTTATTATTTATGGAGTGAATCTTGCAGTTGTTGTATAAGGGATTATTTTTTTGACTGGAATGTAATTGAAATTCGTAAGATTTTGGAACGCAGAAATAAAATAATCAACCATCAATTCTAGCAAATGGAAGGCCGCCTAAATTATATAATTTTGTATTTGAACAATAGGTGTTTGTATTATAGTTTGGTATTGTTACAATGAGGCTATTATTGAACTGAAATTGAAAATTAATTAAAAAATTATTATCGAATATGTTAGTCCCTTTTATTGCTTTGCCAGTGCTCGCCATTTGCTAATCTGCATGCAAATCATATCCAATTGCTAATCATTCAATCAGTCATATTTTACTGGATTTTGTGTGAATTACCATATATTCAATTTTCTATTTCCCCTTTTCTGTATACATTCTGTATTGTATGTAATTCCATTTCATATCATCTCCATTTATCATTTCTATTAAGCTTTGTATAACAACAGAGCCCAGAGATTTGTTTCTCTGCAACCCCGCCCCCCTTTGGAGGCTGTAGGGGGGAGGGGCATCAAATCCCACACAGATTGATGGGGGGGGGAACCCTGTGGATTTGTGATTTTTATCAGATATGCAGAATGCTTTAATCCCAAACTCTCTAGCCCAGGCATCCCCAAATTCGACCCTCCAGCTGTTTTGGGACTACAATTCCCATCATCCCTGACCACTCGTCCTGTTAGCTGGGGATGATGGGAGTTGTAGTCCCCAAACAGCTGGCGGGCTAAGTTTAGGGATGCCTGCTCTAGTCCTACGACTGGCTCTGCCACAATAAATCTATTTGCTTCTAAGGTGCTTGGTGGCTCTCTTTTTCTACGTTTGCTGCAGGGGGCTTAATAATATCACTACCCTTCTGCACTCTGTGAATTAAGAAGGGGCATGGATTTGCAAGCATTTGTAACTTCTGCCACATAATTTTCAGGTGGAACTCAAATCGGGAGAGAAAAGGGTAAATGCAGCCTGCTCTTTCCATGTGGGTGGCACATTTTGTGGTGCATGCAAGTTTAATGGTGGGCCATAACATTAAAGGCAGACGCGTGGGGGACCTGTCTGGCCTAAGTGGGGAAAGGAACCATCAAATTCGCTCATAAAACCTCTCTGGCATGGGAACACATGAATTCCAGAGCCATGGGCACATGGGGCACATGAATGCTTCACAGTCTGTTGTTTTTCTGCGGAATTTACATTTGGAAATATGCCCAGTCAACTGCAAAGAGCACATACCTGCTTGTTTCCAAAGGAGTGCTAAAATAAATTAACAAGTCCTCAAAGTGGCAGGCCTGTTCCAGTCCCCACCTCAGATAGTCTCGAAGTGCGAGGTAGCCAGTGCAAATTTATCAGCAATTTCAGCAGACGCTGTGTCTAAAGAGTGCAGCAGCTACCTTTGGGCTGACAAAATTCTGGCACCTTGGCTGAGTGTCCTGGAGCATGCACAGAAATCCTTGATCTCCAAGGGGGATGTAGCATTTCAAAGACCGCAGGGCAAATGTGCTCCTGAGCATATGCAGAATCCTTTTCCTCTGGTGAAGTGTGGGGAACCTTTAGCCACCTCAGCTCTTGCTAGACTGCAACTCCTGTCAACTCCAGCAAGCAGGAGTTCAGCAACACCTGGAGGGCCAGAGGTTCCCCACACCTGAGCTTGAGACTGTGCAGGTATCTGTGGATTCTGGAGTCCCAGAATTCACCTTAGGTATATTTTTTCATGGATGTTAGTGACTTCACCTGCCTGATGCTGCATAGGAGGTGACCTAGGATGAGATGGCTGGCAGGTACTCATGCTATGGCCTGGCTGACTTGCTTGCACAGTAAACGGGAGACAAGAACTCAGTGTGTAATCTTATCACAGTGAAGAACGGTAGCAACTTCCCCAAATCTCTTGCTAAGCAGCAAAACTATTGCTGGGTCTGCCTGCTGGCAAATATAACATTGAATCACAATGGTACAAAATAACTCAGCAAGCTGACATTTATCAAGAGTTAAACAAAGGTTAGTGTACTAAATATTATTTCCAGTTCTAGGTAGTTTGCTATTGGAGAAATACCATATATGATTATAAAAATCTAAAGCAAAAATTATTTTAAAATATGATTTCATTTCTAAATCAGACAGACAAGATTTCTTCTACTATATATTTATTTCTTTATCATATACACACAAAGCTTCTATTTTTAAACAGGAAATATTTTTGTAACCTAAGGTCTATTATACAAATGCATACAGATGTTCATTTTGTTACAGTTCTGTTAAGTTGTATACAGATTATAAAGATTCCAAGTTTTTTTATGTTCTGCCATGAGTCTATCATTTACTAAATTCGCAAGTTTTGCCATTACTGCATATTCTGATAGTTTCTCTTTCCATGCATCTATTCCAGGACATATGTCAGATTTCCATATGTTAGCCAACACCACTCTGACTGCTGTGGTCATATAAAAAACCCCAACAACCACTGCTAACAGATAACAGAACTGCCCAGATCAGTATGACTAAAGAGGCTGCTAATTTGTTATCTGTGCCTTCCAAGCTTGGTGGTAAAGCAGTTGGCACCAGCAGCTCTCCAAAGGGACTTTAGCATGTTGTGTTTTCCGCAAGTGAATTTGCAAGGATTAAAGGTTATTCTTTTCCTGATTGCAGTCAATTGAATCCCTTTTTTGCATTTGTTGTTAGAAACAGGAGCTTCTAGAAACAGGAATGTAAATCTTCCATTTATTCATGGGATTTGTAGCCTATTTTAGACCTCGGCCTTCCAGAATGGCTTACTTAAAATTAGGTTTAAAACACTAATAAAATAACAATCATACAAATAAATGAAACTACCAGATAAAAAATGGAGTGGCAGAAAAGCCCAGTCATTGATAGATAACTAAATCTGAACAGAATGGGAGAAGAAAAAGGTCTTCACTGGATGTCTGTGTCAAGCAAGTCTTCGAGTGCAAGGATGCTCCAGAGTTGGCATGCACCCACCGAAAAGTTCCTGTCTGCATTTTGTTGTTGTTGTTTAGTCGTTTAGTCGTGTCCGACTCTTCGTGACCCCATGGACCAGAGCACGCCAGGCACTCCTGTCCTCCACCGCCTCCCGCAGCTTGGTCAAACTCATGTCCGTAGCTTCGAGAACACTGTCCAACCATC